TGCATGTGTATCTCATTAAGTCCCATTTATGTGACTGGAAATCACAGGTTGTGTGTACTTGGATGGAATTAAAGAGAATTGTCAAGTAGAAGTATTGACAAATACAGTATTACCACAAGCTATCTGATGGAGCCTGGGCAGTTGCTACCCAGAGTCAGATTGATCTGTCCACAGTATGTGAGGGGAAGCCCACGAGAACAATAAAGATAGAACCTCTTTGATAGAATTACCACTGAGATGTTTAGCATTTGGAATATCTATCTCCCACCACCTATATTATCAGGCTGAAGAAAAATACAAAGAAAAAGATTTATTTGTGAGATTGATTGAAATGGATTTGAGTGATTGGACAGAATTATGAGAACCAGTTGTAGAGAAATTCGCTGAAGTCACATTAAAGGAGATGCTAAAATTATTAAAGCCAGTAGAGAAGATTAGTCTGGATCAACTGAAAGACAAATTGAGTACATGGGAGAAGAGAGTACATTTTGTAGAGATAATTCAGGGACTATAATGAATTGGTCTGCCATGTTAGGCACTTTGGTAGCTATTGCCACCATTATGGTGGCAATATGGAGGCTAAAAATCATAGGAAAAAATCAGTTAATCTTCAGGTGTTGGCGAATGTGCATGAGAACGAGAGAGAGAGAGAGACATCATTTAGTGTTCTTTACTGAAGCAGATTGAATTCAGAGACAGCTGTCGAAGGAAAAACAAAAACCACTATTGTGGAAACAGAAAAATTGATTAAGAAGGACAAACCAGGAAAGAGATAAAAATGTATCAACTGAAACAAAAGTAAGGGGAGTTGCGAGCCCCAGATTGAATGATTAGATTGTAAAGGATGGTGTGAGCTCCCAATATGAAAACACATGGTCATGAATGGAAAAAGAAGAAGGATGACTTTTTAATTCTACTACATATTTAGTAGAAACATTATGCATGAAGAACATTTTTGGTTACTTTTTTCTTTCTTTTCTCACCTTAGGGAAGGTGTAGTTGGATGTCATATACAAGTAAATGACAAAAAGGGAAGTGCATTATGTGACAGTGAGGTGGTTATACAATAATATTTAGGCAGAAAAAGGGTTAAGTCCAAAATGAAATATAAACTGGAAGATACATAGAAAGAGAGAATGGAAGACATTTTTCCTAGTAATGTAGAAGTGAATAAAGGGCCATTTGGGTTGCCTCACCTCTACAAATTGGAACATTGCACCTAGAGTTTACTTTTTTTATCTATCAAAAATCTGACCACTTTTGGGCTAAAGTGCATATAAACAGATGACTTTTGGGGAGGGGAGGAATTTGGGCTGAGATTCCACATTCAGTGCCTCTGAAATCCACATCAGCTACCTCCAGATTTCCTGATTCCAAGACTTTGAACCCAGCTCCTCCAGAAGTTTAGACAAGGCCCACTGTCACTATAGAGATTGATGTGAGAAGAGTTAATTTTTGTTGTACCAAGAGCGCTATATGAACCAATTGAAGATTAACCCCACAAATCTCTTGCTTTATTTTTCATTGTGAAGATATGTTTTTTCTTAATATAGCACCTGCCATGGCTTGAACCAGCACTGCAAGACTATGGTCTTCAATTTTTCACTGCTTTGAGATCAAGAACACGGAGTGGGTATTGCTGGTGTGGACCAAAACAGCCTGCGACCAACAACCAGCTTGTACTAGTGTCAGTATTAACCAGCATAGAGTTAGCCCTGTGGTTAAAACATTGTTGTAAGCCCTGAGGGCCAGACCACTAAAATGTGGTTATACCACTGGGTGTAGACAGTGGCCAAAAGGTGTTATATTTTCATCAAAGCTTATGACAGTCCAAGAATAATCACTAAATAAGAAATGTTTTATGACTATTCTCAATTTCTTTAACAACTTGACTAAACATTAATATTCTCCAGATAATGTAATTTTTTTCCCAAATCACATTTTAGCCTGTTTATTTAAAATTAGAATCAGAGGATATCATCAGAAAAAAAAAAAATGGTCCCTTAAACATAATGTATAAATTATAAGCAAAACCAAGTTTACATTCTTGTATTATTTTGAACTATCGTTCTCATCTTGATTGATATAAATGTACGTCATTTCAACCAAGTATCCTCTGGTCATCATCAGGTGTCCATTGATCGACTGATATAGAATATCTGTTGATTATTAAGATATTTGGTTCCAGCTCATTCCATCTGAATTGGCGCATCACAGCCAGATTCAAGGATTGAACTCATGACCACTAGATTACAGTAAAACATCTATAACCAATTCCTATATCCACTAAGCCACTATCCCAAATTATAAAATCAAATTATTACAAAAATAATTTTGTGTGTATATATATATATATATATATATATATATATATATATATATATATATATATATATATATATATATATATATGTATGTATAATCATCTAATTTGTTTTTTAATATACATTTTTTTTAGAGAAGTGCATGTTTATGAAGGCCAGATGGTTTGTGTTAAAAATTGTTACAAATGTATATCTTTTTCAGCTTGGCAGTTAAATAAAATTTGTGAAAGATCCATATCCAGTTTATGGAAAATTATTTTTTCATATATACTGACCAATGAGAGACATAGTCTCAAGTTCTAGTAGCATCCCGAATAGTGGAGCCTTTGTGAGCCTAATTTTTCAAATATATAGAGCTCAGATCAGCAGATGCAAGAAGATATTTTGACAGCAAGGGGACAAGGCAAATCAACATCAGGGAGCACCAACAAGGCACCAGTTACTAGCCAGCTTCAGAGAGACTAAAGAATTTTGAAGTTCAAGTGAAAATTCTCTCAACAAAGAACAGAAAAAAATTCTAAAACATTTTCCCAAGCATGAACTGTGAATTTTAAAAGGGACTTTTCAAAAATTACCAGAGAGGTTTATGGGGTAAGTGAAAGTAGGTATTTTTGTTTTTTCTCAAAAGTTTGTACTTTTGTGCCAATTATGACTTGTTGTTTCTACTATGTTTTTGTGTTTGACACAAGAACTTGGTTTTGGTAGGGAATAAAATTTTTATTTTTTGCACAAAAATTTGTTAATTCCTGAATGCAAAGAACAAAATTTGTGTTCATTTTTACAAGACTCTACTGTATGAATTTTTAAGGAAATTTTTACCATCTGGCTGGATAACTTTTCTCATGAGATAATAGATTATCAAACTAAACAAAACAAAATTCAGTTAATTCAAATTTAATGTAAACTAAAAGTTAACCATGGTCATAACTTAAAAGCAAAGGGGAATTTGTGTAAAATTTCACCTTAAAAAATTATTTCAAATGTAAATTCAGTATATTGACTGAAATAACAAAATTCTGTTCTAAGGTTATCAGAGACTTTCAAAGATAAAATTCTGCCATTGATTCTTCAAAAAATATTAATATTTGTTCATTTGGTATGGTGACTGAAAAACTACTGTGTTAACTTAACAGAATGTTAATGTTAAATTAACCTGGAAGATCTATACTTAAATTCGTCCGTTCAATTTTTAAATTATTTCAAATATAAATTCAGTATTGGCTGAAATATAAAAAATTCTGTTTTTGTAAAAAAAAGTTAACATCTATATAGACAAAAATCCTGTTCAAAACTAAATTGGAGAAATTTAACTAAAATTATAAATATATTATAGAAATGGATGTGATTTATAAATTGATGGAAAAATATTCTTGGTACAAGTCTAGAATCAACACTACCTTGAATTTAATAAAGGCCAAAGCAAATGTAAAAAATCCAAAATACTTCATCACTCTACAGGAACAAGCTATACTTAAGTGACTAGATTCTGTAAAATTTTTCACAGATCAAATTGATATATATATATTGATTTAAATTTTGATGTAGAAGATAGTGGAAATTAAACTATTTGTGAAACTATCATTCGAATACATTAAATGTGTTTTATAATCTAGCATATCATTTTGAATAAAAGTCTAATTGCTGGATAAACATTCTGAACAGAAGAAGTGTCAGTCTGGAAACTTTGTTGAAAATTCTGAAGTTTCTGACACTGTTGAATATTCTGACAAGGATGAGCTATCTAGTGTCTTCTTTAAAATTGAAGATGAAAATTTCTAACACTGATGTAATATCTAGTGATTTTTTTATAACAATAATTCTGAGATTTCTGACACTGATGAAAATTCTGAGATTTCTGACACTGATGAAAATTCTGAACTTTCTGACACTGATAATATATCAAGTAATGTCATTAAAAATGAAAAGTCTAGGGAACAAAGAATTCTAAAAAATTTTCCCAAGCACAAACTGTGAATTTTAAAAGGGATTTTTCAAAAATTACTTTATGTCCCAGAGATGCCTGTGAGGCAAGTAAAAGTAGGTCTTTTCATTTTTTCTTAAAGGTTATTGCACCTTCTTGCATTTTTTTTCTCTTTTTGTCATTTTCAAAATTCTTGTCTTTTTCCAAACTTTTTCAATAGTAATCTTTTTATCTGAAATTGTTATCTGGCTTTGATAGGTGCACAAAAGAAAAATTTTGTACAAACTTTGTATTTGTATTTTTTTGTAATTGTGAAATAAATGTATTTTCCTTTTAAAATTTTATGCTTGAGTCATTTATAATTTTGCACCTATTATGATTTGTTGTTCCTACTAAGTTTTTGTGTTTGAAACATGAATCTGGATTTGGTAGGAATAAAATTTTATAAGCTAAGTGATAGACCTTTTACTTGTAATATATATATATATATATATATATATATATATATATATATATATATATATTTAATTATTGATCTTATCTTAAAGTTGAGAAAATAAAAAAATATATAGTACCTAATCTTATTTAAGATATTAATACAAATGTTGTGAAAAGAAAACCAAAATGAATTACTGTTGGTTGCATTTGAATAAAGAATAAAGAATAAGATTTTCCTTTCAATAATAGTATGTGCATTTTGACTATGGTAACAAATATTTGAAATCAGAAAAACTGAGCGTTTTATTGATACTTACTTTTGGAAAATGATGCACAATGATGTTCAGTGCATGTTTCTTCATGTCAGAAGCCTGAATTTTGTCAGCGGCTTCAAGAATCTAAAACAAAACAAAAAATAAGTTATAGTAAGCTGATTTCTTATATATAAAAGAACATAAAAAGAGTTTTTAATAAATATAAACAGAAATAGTAACAGTTCAAATATTAAACACAAATAAATTCTACTTCTAAAAACTAATTCAGTCACTAGTACTTGCTTTGAAATGAAGAAGAGACTTAAAGCAACAGTAATGTGGTTTTACATAAGGATGCTGAGAATACTATGGACCAAACATGCAAGCAATGACAAAGTTTTAGAAAAAAATGAAAACAAAAAGAACACTTATACTTAACATCGGACAGAAACAGTTAAAGTTTCTAGGGCACATAATGAAGAAAGAGGGCTTGGAAAATGTTATACTCACAGGACAGACTGAAGAAAAGAGAGAGAAAAACAATGCATAACCTACTTAGCAAACTTGAGTAAATGGATGGCAGGACAGGGTTTAGGAGAGATAAAGGACTACAAAGGACAGGATATTGTGGAGAGCCATGATCGCCAATGTCCTGACGTGTCACAGCATATAGAAGAATACTTACTTTAATTCATGACCACTTCTGTATTTTGAATGCACTTTCATAGTAAAATCATAGCAATACATTTACATTATACATTTAATAACCAAATTCTGTTAGTAATGCTTGCAGCAATTGTAGCTTATCAATACACAATATAAACTAGATATTGAAACTTGCTCAGAAAAATTTGGGGATAAAAACTTGCAAAATCATCATATTTTCCTCCTATCACTAAAAATATATACTCTATTAATTAAAATCTCTGAAATGGGAGAACAATTGAGTACTGGTAAAGACAGTGGGTAGCAATAATAATAATAGTATGCAGAGTTCAAATACAGTAAAAATTGTTTTCTGCAACTGGGGAGATAAAAAGTTCCACAGAGGGAAAATGAAACCTCTTGTACCTACTGCATCCTGTGGGGGAAGAGAGAAAAATGGTTTATGTATACAATGGCACATAGCAGGAATTTAAAGAAGTCCTCTAGCAGACAAAGTTGGATAATGCCGCACCAGCTTCTTGAAAGTGGCAACCATGGAGACAATGAACTAAGTTCATGTCATCTGTGATGGTCCAGGTGGTTGCAAACAATAAAGGTCATTGCTGCACTAATTCTTCCCATGGATCAATATTACTGTCAATATTGAAGTGCTGGATATAGTGGTCAAGCTCTGGATTGAAGATGTTGGCTGTAAGTGTTTCAACATGACCCTCCTTCCACACATATATGATCCAAGAGTGGCTGGTGCTTAATTTTTTTTTTTTTTTACAGTCATGTCACCTCCCCTACCAACATGTGCCTTCCAAATTCTTTTGATTTCAATCCCCCTGAACTTGGGCAAGAAGGAAACTATAGGGCACCCTACTCAATATAAAAGACTCATTGAAGGCTGTCATGATGGTCAACATGAACAAGAAGTACCTGATCCAGACATGCCATTACTTGTCCTTGAGACTAAAGACCATTTTATCTTCTCTCTTTTTTTTTTTTTAATCATTTCACCCCAAATCAAGACAATAAAGCCACTAAGATGCAAGGAATTACTGAATGTGAGAGAATATGAGAAAAAGAAAACATTATTAAGGAGAGAGAAATTTACAAAGAAAAAAAAAAAAGCAACAATTTTTTTTTTTTCAATGTTTGTTTTAAATTTTTCTTCTATACAGGGATTTGAACCACCAACCTTTAACTTCTAGATATAACACACTATCATTAAGCAACTATTCCTAAGTGATACGGGAAAAATAAAAATAAATATTTCTTAGGTTGTTTCTGTTTCTTTTCTTATCCCCCATGATGGGAAGAGTTTGTTTTTTTTTTTTTTTCATAAAAATTCAAGGGCAACAACTTTAAACTTTAGTTGTTTTCCTTTATTTATTGCCCCTTTTTGCTATTGATAATAGTTATCTCATTATCACAAGACACACAAACATCTTAGATATATTTGTTCATTAGTAAGTAATGGTATTTATTTACATCTCTAAATATAAAATGTGACATACAGGTCATTTGGGTACCTAAGTGTAGCTTCAAATATTAATACTAATAGATCTGATTCTGGTCCTCAGCCGTCTGCTATTTTTCATTTGCTTCATGGCTCAAAATAATGAGCACAGCAAAAACTTAAATACAAAATAGCTAAAGCTTTTGAAAATCCTGGAAGGTTTTACAAATCCTCAAGTAACCACAAAAAGAAAAACAAAATAAATAATGAAGTGCATATTGGAGAATATATGGAATTTTACGAGAAAGAGATTGCAGCACATACCCTCTGTAATGAAAGGATTTCATTTTTATTATTGAATATGCTTAAAAGTTTTATTACAATTGAAAAAATGTATTGAAAATTATAAAATAGTTACATGGTAATATGATTAAAAAATAGTATTTTAAAAAATGTAACTTAGTCACAGGAATGGTTTTATGGCAATAAAAATTATCAAAAAAAAAAATAAAATAAAAAGATAAAAAAAATTATTTTAACTTTCTCTTCCTGTAGAAATGGTTTAGACAGGAAGATATTTAAAAAAATCAGTAAACATTAGAAGCCATGGCTAGCAATGCAACTTAAGTCATCATTCTGCTTGTTGAAGACACATTGTCAGTTATTTGCTGATTACTGTTAACCTTTTTAAAACTTAAGTATAAACATAACCCTCTTTTACAGGAATACTTATAAGAATTTATGTGGTGTAACTGATTTGGTGATAATGCATTCATTCATATGAATGAATAATATCATCGTTAATGCTGTCAATAAAATAAATTACTGTTTTTCTTACTTTACCTAAATTATGACAGTTTCCAGTTAAGTATCTTGCCTCTTAAACTGCTTTAGTAGGGAATATGTTCAATTAATCAAACTTTAGGAGTGGTTAAGGATATTAAAGTGATGCAATATTTCTATGATGCAAATCAATCACAGAATTGGTTCAATAATTTTAAGAAACTGATATTGTGTAGGAGATTTTCTTATTGCTTTTATGATTCATAATAAGTTGCATAAAACTTTAAAGTCTTCATATTTGCTTCCGAAAAACAACAGTTCTGCTTGGTCATTCATTTTCAAAACATAAAATATTACATATTTTATTTTGAATACATAACCATTTTTCTTGGTTTAGTGCTATCATAAAACAATTTCTAGTATACAATGACATTTTTTTTCCAAGTAGGGTTATTATATTATTTTATCTGTATTTCTCAGTCTTCAAATTGGGATCAAAGCATAGTATCTGTTCACTTTAAACTCTGGAGAAGCCTGGTCTTAGGGATTTCAACCCTATAGCAGCACCTCCTTCATTACAGTAAAAAGAGGGAAGGTTGATGGATACCAGCCTGACAGTGGTCATGGGGTCTAGGTAATTTTTGCCTTTGGCTCTTATGTATACACATGCCCCCCACCCCCCATGCACAATACACTTTGTGTTACATACTCTCAGAGTGGGAAGATGGGTAAATATCTATCTATATTTTTAGTGAGTGATTATTAATTAAATTCTTGTTTGAGCAATAAAAACAAAAATTTTACTTTTAAGCAAAATTAGTGCTTATGAATAAATTTCTGACCTCGTGATAGAACAATACAACACTGTAACATTTGAGCTGTAACCACTGACAGTTTTAGAATAATAATCATTTTTTTTTTTAAATGTACTTTTAAAAATGTATATTTTATTTAAAACCTTCAATATGTTTATTAGCTATCAGTTATCAAGGTGAAATGTACTTTTACATTTCAAACCGCATTTAATGCAACATTGTAACCAGAATTGTATTGATATTTTAACCGCAAATGTACTTTTAAAAATTTCTATTTTGGTTAAAAAGCTCAAATATGCTTATATCAAAACTATTAACCCTAATAGCCATCTATCAGTTATTACAGTGAAATATACTTTTCATTTATAGGAGTCCAAAATTCAACAACAATAAAATTCATCTTTATCTCATGACAAGTGCACCAAAAATATTCAAGATTTAAATAACAGGCTATAAATTATTTTTTTAAATTTATATAAACAATTAAGAATATATCAACTTTCATGTATACACTATTACTAAAATTACAAAGTTAACTTGGAGTTGGATTTCTTGTTTTGATATCAGAAATATACTTTAATAAAAGTGCTTTGATCAGAGGCTGTTGAAATACTTATTAAATTTATTTTAGTATAGCACAATATGTTTCTTCTGTTTCTACTTGTTCAGAGAACCTACTTGGCTGCCTTCCTTCCTGCCAGCTGAGAAAATTAGTTTTGTAAATCCTGGCATTTACCTAAACACTGATCCCTCTGACGAGTGAGAAATATGTAACTATTTCAACTGCAACTTGCTTTATTTTGTCTGAAGCAATTTGATAATTTATCTTAATAAAATCTACATTATAAAAGAAGAGCTGACTCTCTGTCACTGTCTTCGTGTGACTTTGTATGTGAGCATATAATGTTTATGCTTATATATGTGTGTGTGTTTTATGTGAATGACTTACATGTGCTTGTGCCATTTAATGTTCACACAAGCACACATACAATTTGACTGAGATTGAAATGACATTGGAATAATATACTCCTCTCCCACTCAGTCTGGACAGCCCCTACTCTAGTCTGAGCAATAAAATCATACAGTTGGTGATAAGAAAAAATATTAAGTTTTTAAACCCTAAAAAAAAACAAAAAAAAAATCAAATAATTATAACATTTTATTAAACTTTTCAGAAATTATTCAGTGATAAATAAAATTATTGTTTTTTAAAATTTGTAGAATTATTTTTAGGGCTGTCATTAAATAAAAAAAATAGATGCATTTAGGCAAATGTATATATGCACATATTTTGAATGGCTTTAACAGTTGTCTGTCAAGACAGGTCATATTTTACCCACAACTGCATTTGAACCCAGTAGAGATAGGTATGGTTTAGATTATTGTTATCATGCTTCTATTTATCACTACTCAGCTTTATATATTTCTGGTGAGAG